TGACACTTTTGGTTTCTTGTTAATTGTTTTTAAAGCTAGATAAGACACATTTGTTGTCATTTAGATCTTTTTTATTATTATTTATTACAGTGTTATCTGATAAATAAGACAAATGCACATAGGGACAAATGGACAATTAATGGTTTGTAGAAATGAATCAGATTGGACGAAATGACCTATTTATTGTGTTGATCTCGTGATGGTTGACACGTACTTTAAGACAACAGGACGATAAACAGAATTGGGAGTATTTGAGCGGGTCAGCTACTGCTGCGAAGGTCTTCCTCGTCTCCGTCTCGCGGCAGCTTTACCTCAGACGGCCGCCCATCTTCCCCTTACCGCGACCTTTGGCACTGAAACATGGAGAGAAAAACACTCAGAACATCAGTGTGCACGGTACAACTCGTATTGTGTTACAGCATAAGGACTGATTCTAGTCATTGGTTTTTCTTTCGTGGTTTGAGAACTAAATATGGTACACTAATGCACTTCTTTTCTTTTTAAGACTTGCCTCTGGTGGTCTTGAACTCGGCAGAGAAGCTGGTTAATCTGCAAGGAAACAAACATCGAGCGTCTAGTGGCTTGCAGAAAATCACAGCATGGCATTTGACATGTAAGCAAAATACACCGATGATGCTTGTTTTGCTTTGCCAGACTTACATCATATTTCTGTCTTCTAAGTTTTTCGCTGAGATCAAACTTTTCAGACTCCAGGCCCCTCAGCGAATCCCACAGCTCCTTGGCCTTCTCCCTAAACACGTTTGTTGTAATTTCTCATTAAATTGACATCATGTGTATTAAAATGTTCTGGGACTAATTGAGCAAAAAGAACAAGCCAAGCTGAGTCGTACTTGAGTTTGTCCTCATTGAGGTGATCAACAGTGAGCGGCTTCCTGCGTTCTGCGAGGATCTTCTTCTTCTTCTCCCTCTCGGTTTGCTTCTTGCCTCCTTTCCTGGTGTCACTCTGTTTATCAGGTGGAAAGTAAACTATTAACCAGATGGACTTCCTTCTCACAATGAACCAGGAGATAGCTTTGTCTATAGCAGTGCTAGCCCCGCCCAATAACTAAAGCGGATTAAATAAATTCAAAGCACGGAACACGGTGCACTAAATAATAAAATATTATTTAACGAAACTTCGAGGCAGATAAATTATTCTCGAGGAATTTTAATAATCGATGTACTTGAGGAATCGTTTCAGCCCTATTTTCAAACATGATATTTTCACGTTTGACAATACAGTCAGCTATTGCTTCGTGGGATTGTGGGTGTTTAAATTGATAAAAATTACTTCATTAAATCAAATGAAACAAGTTATCTAAGGAACAAACTCATTTGTGTTTATGCGTCTGCTAGTTTTTAACTCGTCTCCTTACTTCAAGTGAAGATCTTGAATGCCAGATTTTTTTTAAAAATTCTAATTTCCTATTTTGATCCAAAATTGAAACGCTTTAGCAAATTAAAAACCAAATTGAAGACCTTTTGACCGGCGCCGTACTGTTGGCTCATGTTCGAGAGCGCCTTCTTCTTCTTGGCGTCCTCATCCTGCTTTTTACGCTGCTCCTCCTGCTCCTTGCGCTCCTTCTCCTCCTGCAGGAGAGGAACAAAGGAACAAAAAAAACCACCAAATCTCTCTTTGTGCTGCTCAGAGAGCAGTGAAGAAGTGAGTATTTCTGCAGACAAACCGTACAGCAAGTCTGGCTTGCCTCTCCTTCTCCCTCTCTGCCCTGATCCTCTGCTGCTCGGCTCTCTCGGCTCGACGAGTTTCCTGAAACACATTTGTACACAGAAGTTGGAGACTATTACGATAGAGTCTTGTCAGATCGACCTCTCTCCTCGGAGTCAGAAATGCTCACAATTCTGTTGACCAAGGCCACGAGCTCCTCTTCCTCCTTCTTCCTCTGGACGAAGTGGGCTTCAATCAAAGCCTGCAGCTCAGCCAGGTCTTTCTCCTGCCGCTTCCTGTAGATGTCCTGGCATCACAAGAGGAATCGAAGGGCCATCCTTTATGACAAGATGTACAAGGATCCAAGTGGATGTAGCATTATCAGAAAAGGAGGTGAACTTACATCAAAGTCCACTTTTTCCCCATCAGGCATCTTTGGGGCTGTAATATTTGTCATGAACCTGCAGAAGGTAGAGATGCGTTATTACTACGTAATATGAATCCTGATGGCGGTGGAAGGCTGACTGCTGCAAAGAAGAGAAGCTAAACACTCACTTGGGTTTGGGCTTGGACTCATCTACAGAAAGGAAAACAGTCTAGTCAGTTGAGGAAGTGCCGTGTTTATCCAGACAAATTTGAAACCATAGAGGTCAGTGTGAGCGAGTCAGTCATTGAAAACAGTTTAGCATATAACCACGACCCTTTATTTATTTATATTTTAGATTTTGTCACCTTCAAACCACAAACCAAATAGTTTCAGAAAACCGAAGGGATTCACATGTCTGGATCACTGGTTGTGATCTCCACAAGCCGTAAGCGGTGGCAGCATCATGCTGCGGGGAAGCTTTTCTTCGGAGGGGAAGATGGACAGAGGACCGGACAGTTAAAGAAGAAAGCTTGTTAAAATCTTTAAAAAAAAAAAACAAAACAGCTATAGTGCTTAACCTACAGCTAGAGCTTCTATGCAATGGCTTAGTTCAGGGCATCATGTGTTGGAACGGTCCAGTCAAAGTCCAGACTTAAATCCCATTGAGAATCTGTGGCAAGACCTAAACTAAGCTCAGATTCATGGTGACAGGAAAAAAGTTGCGCAGCAAAAATTTTTTAACCCAGGAGACCAAATTAAAATGTTTCTTTAAGACGTTATTTCCTTTTATTTCACAGCAGTGAGCTACTCAGAGTTGACCTGCCGGGGGAAAAAATCCCACAGAATACACTGATGTTTGCGGTTGTGATGGGAAAAGAAGCTTTAAAAAAAAGTTGAGTGTGAATACTTTTGAAAAGGCACAGCTAGAAGGAGAAAGCACGTGACCCGTTTATTAAACATGTTTTTTTTGTCATTACTCTTGTTCTAATGTAGTTCGGGTGTAGACTGGCGTAAGACACTCAACTTTCTTTAGAGACGACGTCCAGATGAGCCATAAAGATTTCCAGCACACTAACCTCAACGTTGTATAAATCAAAACTCAGCCTTGAAAGTTTTTACGTTTCCGTCTGACCCGTACACGACCGGTAACTTTCTCTGTCCATCTGGCTATCAGCTTTATTCATGTATTAAATAGTAATAATAATAAAACAACAACATACTAATGCGTGTGAATCAAATTCTCGCCCATTTAAGCTGTGTAAACATTCATTTGCACATTATTAAGAGATAAATCCAGAGTATAAAGCTCCGACAGGTGAGACCGATGTTTGTTTATGCCGCATTCAGAGTTTCCTGGGGGCCTGAGAATCACATCAGAATGGACCCCATAAAATGTACAGTCAGGATATTAATACCCATCCCAAAACAGGGAAGAAAAGCACCACAAATGACCCATATAAATTTATTTTCAGCTGTAGTGTGGCCCTCTTTCCAACAGCTGCGACAGCTGAGGTTATAATAAAGGTTGATCTTCAATCAGGAACATTTCAAAAATTTGACAAGGCGTTGCTAACAAAGAGGGCAATTCTTGAATGGTCTCAGTTTGAGACCAATACAAGAGTCCTGACATTAAAAAAAGAAAAAAACTGGAACTGGTCAAAAAAATGTATCCACTGCGAGACGAACACTGGCGTATAATTATTCATATGTTGGACAACATTAATACGTTGGACATTTTTGAGCTTTGTGCGACTTAAATAAAATAGGTTAGGTATGTTAGTTTTCTTACCTTCTCCCTCTCTTCAGCAAGACAGAAACACAGACAAAAAAAAAAAACAGAAAGAAAGAAGAAACACCTTAATTTAACATCACTTACATTTGCAAAACAGATATTTTATTTCGGACAGTTGTTTCACCAACAATAAAACTGATTACGTACAGAACTTCGTCGCCCGCTACTTCCTCTGTGTCTGACATTTGGTTCTGGTTGAGTTCTGCAAAATGGACCCCCGACCCCCTCCATCAGACTATATTTACACAGGCAAATATTTCTGATCATTAGACAACACAACAGACCTGGCGACGGCTCACAGAGGACTGAGTGTTATTGTTGTTATTGGACTAAACATCAGACTACTGCTGAAATAAATGGACCATAAAGCTCATGTCACCTGAAAAAGTTACAGAAATATGTCCTAAAATGATAAATGACAAAAAAAAAAGAAAAAAAAAGTGTGGGTTAAGAAAACAATGGCAATCTACAGATCAGACGTGTATTTATGCAAATGCAAAATGACTTCCTGATCAATTCTGATGCTTTTCATGCAAACTCTAAAAAACAATGACGGCCAAAACTCATATTCTATTAACTTGGATTTTATTCAGATCTTTTTTGTTTCTAAGTGAGAAAATTAGTACGAGTCTTAAGACAAATCAGCAGGCAGAGTACGAATGAGCACATTTCACTCTGAAAATCACTACTAAGGAAGACAAACTATAGCTTTAAATTCATTTTACAAGCAGTAAAAATAACTGAATTCATAAATTGGACTTTTTTTGTTTGTTCTCTTCATGTTCATATTGAACTTGCTAATCATTCTTACCTGTGACCCAGACAGAGGGAGGTCAGAGATGAGCAGCTTCAGACTTCAGCTCCTTGAGCTTCACCAGCAGCCTGAGCATCGAGGAGACATGGTCCGACCCTCCCGACTCATGTGACCGCAGCGCCCTATGGCTAACCAGTCTATTGTTAGGAAGCTGGACATCATGGCGCTGTTTCACTCACTCACACACACACACACACACACACACACACACACACACACACACACACATTCTGCAGGTATATTCCTGCTCTGGTAAAATATCATGCAGTCATTTAATCTTTCACCACCTCCTCGAGTTTCAACTCGGCCTCATAATTTAGCAAGTTGTTTGAAGGTAGAAAGTGACGCAACACAACCAGAACAAGGTCTGTGTTTTTATTTATTTATTTTTTTCTTTCAAATGTTTTTTTTTAATTTTATTGCTAACGTCAATATTGTCAAACAGATCGAATCGCGACAACATTTAGGCAAGGTGCAAAACAAAACAAAACAGATGGAAGAAGGTGGTTACAGGTGCAGATCATCAACTTGTTGATCCAACGTATCACAGACTGGACTGCAGCACAAAATAAGGTGGCAGGTGACAATGGCAGCAAAACAAATCTTGAAAAAAAATAAAACAAAAATCTCAGCAGTCCATTTGATAAAGTGAGAACAATTCGAAGCTCGATAGAAAAGCCGACCGGTTCTGCAGCAGAAACCGATGAGTTAAAGGTCAACACATTCTCTGGCGGACAAACTCAGTGATACAAACAGATTCCCTAATCCTTAGAAGCTCCACATCTCCACTCACCGATCTATAAAGCAGCACCACAGTGAAAGTTACTAACAACTTGGTAAAACACTGGCACTATATAGGGGCTTTTCTCTCAATGTCCGGATGACAGGTGCTGCCTCCGGAAACAGAGTCGTGATCAAGTCCAAACAGTCACGCCGATGTTACCTCCTGTGATGATGACAACGAGGATCGCATAAATCATAATTAGGCATGGGTCTGTTTCTGATATGAAGCTATGTCGAGCTTTTAAAAACCCATGGTTTCATCATTCATCATCCTGTTTCACGCTATTAATGTCTTTTTAATGAGGTGCCAGAGGGAGCATCGTCATTGTGCCCAGAGTTCTTTTTTATTTTTATTTCTCAGCTATGAGGCGCATGTAGTTGAAACGTGAAGCACACACGCCTCTTTCTGCACACTGCTGGAAGGAAGGAGGCAGCTACTCTTTACCTTTCGCTTCACATGAAAGATAAGTTTGAACGTGTGGAAATATTCCCATGTGCAAAGAACACAGTAATATCTATCAAGAGGCCGACCGGCAGAGCAGATAGCCTGACTAATTAACAAGGTTCTTACTCTGCAAAGGACAGAAAGGAAAATGAGGAGAACTACAACTGTATTTAGGTGCTGTTAATGCAATTAAAATACTAATAATTCAAATTCATTCAAAAATAATAAATGTTACATAGACATAACTGTAATTACCAATATGCCACATTACAGCAGTAGTAGGTATAATTTGTACATTCCTGTTTTGGATGATGTTAACATTTTTGTTTAATTTTTTTTTTTTATCATCCTACTCAAGGTCATAGCATGAGAAGCTCAAGTACATACAGTGAGAAGCTCATATAGCCCCATGTTTAATCATCAGCAATATAATCCAAAACTATTTGACATGACATACAATATATTGAAACAATCCTAGGACTTTCTAAAGTGTTATGTTAACCTTAAAGAAGAGTTTAAAAAAGTATTAAACTAATTTACTAGTAAGCCTTAGAAACATATAAGGTTCCAATTTGCATTGCTTTTAAAAATGAACTTATTTATTACCAATAAATAAGTTCATTTTCAAGAAGCTGAAAGTCCATGGATGAATAGGGCCTCTTGCTAATTTTGACTTTAAACAGCCACATCTTACCATTTCTTTACAGTATATCATCCATGTTCAAAACCATTATTGAATATTATCCATAATGGTTAATATTATGGATATTAGTCATTATATTAATGGTTAATATGCATAATATATTCTGCTATTGCATGTCTAACTGCATGTTCCTTCAGTTCATATCCATTTGCTTTTGTTCACAGTGATGTCACTCAAGTTTTAAAAAAAAATATCAGAATATCTTTGTAGTCTTTTGTTTTGTTAGAAATGTCTACTGTCTGAAAAGATGGTGGACATGATGTATTATAGGAGAACGTACCTTAACTTAGAAAAAGCAAAAACAAAGACGAAATGCTTTCCCTGACACTCACATTGATTTAAGTTGTTAGTTCTCACCTTTGCATAGAAATGAGAAGCATGAAGCAGCTGGGCTGCCTTTAAACATTTAAGTACAAAATATTTTCTTCACCGTCAGACTACACTGATGTAAATTTTGAATACAGAGGACGACAAGGTTTGTGTTACACAGTTACAACAGATATTCCCCACACAATAAAAGAAGAAACAATCTAAAATAAAAATAGAAAATTATGCGTAAACCAGACTTTGTGTGAAAGCTGCAGTGGTGTTGGGCGCCCCCTGTTGGTTTGGAGGCTCTAAGAAATTGCTTAGCACACTTGTACCTTGGGGCATGTATTGCAAAGAACAACTTCCGACATCGGTATTAAAAGGTCACTGAAATTGTAAAAGTATGATTATTTCACTATTAAATGTTTTTGTCTCATTTGCATGTCACATTACCGCTGGGTAACAGATTATGAGTCCTCACGGCAGTCGTCTAGGTAGCCGAAACTAGGCGTAATCGCATCAACTTCTCCTGGATCGGGGTTGAAAGTGATCAAATATGCAGCAGTGCAGAATTTCTCGAACCACAGAGCAGATGTTGGCTGGTGCAGATGTTGGCTGGTGCAGATGACCCGCGGCCTGGAACGTCGGCTCCCTTTCTGGTAGGAATGAGAAGTGTGGTGAAGGGCAAAGGAGCCCGAAGGAGAGCAGGAACCTCTTCAGACAGAAAACAGCTTGATCATGAAGTCATCGGTTGCTTTTGTTGAATTTTATTTCATTTTTAAGCCTGCAAAGAGTAAGACATCAGTTGTAATAGTCACTGCATATGTCAAAGTGGCTATGTATAGATTCTGATAGTTTAGTGGGTGTGAAACAGCATTAACCTCAAGGTTGTTTACCAAAGCTTTATATTCAGTTTCCTTTATGAATGTAAATGTCTAGCTCAAACTGGCATTTGTTTTCTTTCGAAACCTCAACTACAAAGTCAATACAAGCCTCTTTGTGGTTGAAACTTGGTCATTTGCCCTTCACTTCATTCCTCAGCTGTCCATTTCTCATGAAGACACTGGGAGGGAACAAACAAGGATCGCTATTTATGGCTGAAGCCGACACCTCTCCGTTTACGGCTGAGTATCCGCACCACTTAGCTTTCTCCAGATTTTTGCATGTTCAAACCTTTTTCACCAAACGGACCAGATTCAGAATGGACAAAACAGGCGTGTGTGTGTGTGTGTGTGTGTGTGTAAAGATTCACAGTCTCTGGTCAATACTTTGGTGAAACATCCCCCCAGCATGATGCAGCCATCACCGTGCTTCACAATAGAGATGTCAGTCAAAGAAATGAGCAGCGCCTGCTTTTTTTCAGATGCTACAAGTATTCCTGAGACCAAAACATTTTGTTTTGGTTTCATTAGATTACTTTCTTAAAATCCAAGTTGTGTGTTGTGGTCTGCCTGATTACTCTAACTCAGAAGCTTGACGTGGGGAGTGCCTTCGCAGTGGCTGACCTTCAGGATGGCTCTCTTTTGCCCACAAGGGAACATTGGTGCCCTTTCTAAGAGACCTTTGGGGTTTTTTGTCACCAATAAACGTGGCCTGAAAGGTGTTTTCCTCAAAAAGTATATCATAGTTGGAGGTCAAATCCAGGCCTGGATGTCTACAATCAAGTGTTTTCTGCTCTGGCGTGCGTAGGCAAATGAGGTTCATTCTGAGCGGCACAGCAAAGTGCTTGAACGCTCACAAAAATATGGTGCGTAAGTGTTTATATTTTTCAGAATTTTGCATGATTTTCTAAAGACATGTTTCCATACGGCGGGACACGCAGATTGAATAAGCCTGGCGAACAAGGCCGACTCGCAGCTCAAAGTGTCTGTAATCCTTCCCAGCACTCAGTTTTAATGTGAAAATCAAGCAGCTGCACTGCGGCATGCCTGACGGCTTACTGGCTCTCTGCGCGTCACCGGGCAATCCAGGTGGCACACCCGGTGAACAGTGTGCTTCGAAAAACACGACAGACACGTCAGGAGTCTGGAACTTTCTTTATACTGGGAAACAAGGTCATGGTGGACGTTTTTAAATATAGACCTCGGTGCCGCAGATCTGAGCCTGTGCCCAAATATCCCCTGCAGGAGATTTGATTTACAGAGAGCAACTTCTCTTCTACAAAGTGCAGTAGCTGGGTTGGGGAAGTTATGAGGGCCCTATGGGGTATGAATCAGTCAGAGCCTCCTCATCTTACCAAGGATATAAGCAAACATACCTGACTGGTAAAGGTGAACGCTGGTTTAACATAAATTGTCTTACACATTTGTAGAAAGAGCTAGAACTGATCCGGTCCTTTATTTGACTCAATTAGCCAGGTACGTTTTTTAAAAATCAACATTTATAAGTTAAAGTACACTACATCAAATTGACACAAAGTCCACCATTTTTGTTTTTGGCCTTCTGTTTCTTAAAAAGAAAAAAGTATGTGGTGCATTTTGTATTCAGCCTCCTAAATCAATACTTTGCAGAATCACCTGTCACTGCAATTTTAGCCACAACTCTTTTAAAGTTTCTAGCACCTTTATGAATACAAAGACAGAAATGTTTGCCTGCTTTTCTCTGCAAAATGGTTCAAGCTCAGGCAGATTCTTGCTAAGGAAAAGCATCCTCACAGCCCGACGCTTTTCAGGCTGCGTGTGCCTAAACGTTTAGTGACGGTCGCATGTGACCCAGTGCGCCTTCTTCCAGATGTTTGCGTCTCCAGTGGATTTCTTTTTTCCACTTTTCTTTAAAGGGCAGACTTGTGTGTCACACACTTCATATTTGATCTGTTGACAATTCCTCCCACCTGAGCTGTGGATTTCTCCAGATCCCCCAGAGTTACCATGGGTGTCTTGGATTCTCATTGATGCTTTCCCTGGGAGGCCAGCCATTTGTTGGTAGGTTTGCAGTTGCACCATTTACTCTCACCCTAAACCCTTCTTTGAGTGCAGAAGCAAACTAATTTGCTCTTTCGTAACATGACCATTTGTTCCATGTTTTGTCAGTTTTCTAAAACAGCATAGAAATGCAGATAAAATGAGAAAACTCATGCAAATAACCTACAAAGTGAACATAAATAAATCCAATGAGTAAAAGCACTAAAATATGTGTCGGTCACTCACCGTTTGGGTCTTTCTAATTGAACTTGCTTTTCCCTCCAACCGCCACCTAGAAACAAGAACGACAGCAGGAACTAATGACGTGAACGTCTCCTTCGTTTCGGACACCTCCATAAAGTAAATTGATTTCATTCAGTTTTGTATGTGGTGCCAACCCACAACATGTGTGGCTGAAAGCAAAATAAAGAGCTCTGATTCCTGTCGTTTTCCATCTATACAAACACCTATTTATAAAGAATACACATGGATATGGATATAGATTAGAGTGAAGAGAATTTGTTCATTAATGAAGCTGAACTATATGTAAATTAACAGAATTATAGACGCAGACACCTTCTGAAAGTGATGCCAAATAGTTTTTCGACTGGGGATTTTCCTTAAAGACAATAGGTGAGGTGAGTCTGCATCCCATACCTTGGCTGGTGTTGAGCCTCTCTTGGCTTCCCACATGCCGCGTTTGCCAACTTCACCTGGTTTGGCTTCCTGTCACGTTGGAGGAAAGTAAGAATGTGACACTACTCCAGGATAATATATCGACCTTGTGTTGTAGTTTCAAACGATGTTTTGCAACGGTCAATAGAATAATGTACATTCGCGAGATTCTGAAATTGGTTTGGTTACTATTGTGTCCGATAATGTCTAATGTTGCTCATTTGATTCTTTCCAACATTTTGCTGCTGCAAGTGCTTTGTCTAAATTACATTTCAATAGTATTTCTTTCAATATGTTCAGTGACACGTTCCATTTAATTTAGCATCTGCTTGATGGGAAAATGAAGACACTAAAAAACCTCAAAAACTGTTCTTGTCTATATCATATTAGTTAATAAATTCAGGAAATAACTTCAAATAACAAGGACATCATAAAGGAAAAAAATTGCCACAGCAAACAGGAAATAAACCAAAAAAGAAACAAAACAAAAGTCGGGAATAGTAAATGACACAAACAGTCCTCTAGACTGCTGTGTAGCGTTTTTCCATCAGAGGGGGGTGTTGATGCAAAAGTTGCGGCACGCTGAGCCAACAAGTCACAAGTCGCATTTGACCCCAAAGTCATTTTGCTCTTAAATTGTGCTTCAGAACAATGTGACACGTCATTCAGAAACGCTGCTGTAAGGGGAGACGGTGTGATGTCTCCAGAGAAGCTGGTGGGATTAGCAGCTTGTGTCCTACTTCTGGACAAGAACACAATGTCCAGCAAGTAGCAGTTCAGCAGAGACACAATTCATGTATGTACAGATAAAATAAACGGGCCTCTCAGTTTCTGTCTGTTGTCCTTTTTTACTTTTAAGTTTTTTTTTTTTTTTTTTGCTGCGTTAATGTAGAATGATAAATTCTCACTGCTGTCAAGCATGACAAAACAAAGATAAATATGCATTGTACTGTTTTTAATGAAATTTTAACAGTTATCCCATTTCCAGCAGTGTTCTTAATACAAGCTCCTTTCGGGCATTTAGGTAATAATACACGTTGAAGCTTTAGAAAAAGTCTGAGAAGTATAAAAGGAGCAGTGAGAAGTGAGAGCAGATGCTGTTGGCGAAACAGTCCATGTGGGGTCACCAGACTCCTGTGGGCCACGCCGTTCATTCATGGAGCTCCGACACAAAAGCTCCAGTTAACAAAAGACCGATACGTCGACGAGCAAAGGAAGAAATTAGCGTGCTCAGAATATCAAAGGATTACTGTCACAAAGCAACACGGGTGTCGTGTTATAGTGGCTACATGAAGAGAAGGATTCATCAGGTCTTACTGGTGGCTTTGCAGCTGCTGGTGGTGATGGTGCTGCTGCTGGAGCTGGAGCTGGAGCTGGGGTCTTCTCTGCTTCTGCAGGCTTCCCCTTCCAGCTGTTGCCGCGTCCTGCCACACTTCCTTTGATGCCAGCCACATCCTGGAAGAGTTGAGAAGGATTCTCACCTTTGGTGTTCCTTCTGATATCGGAAAATGCGTCTGATCCTCTCAGGCATCCTGTCTCACCTTGTTTGCTGGACTTTCGGGGGCGGTGCTGCTCACGGCGCCTTTCTCCCACATGCTCTTGATGTTGCGCGTTCCTCCCGTGGGGATGTCGGCCAAAGGAGACCTGGGGGATTTGACCTCTTTGTTTCCCTGTGGGACAAAATAGGGGAGTCCAGTTCCTTCGTGTCAACATGCAGCAACGCACTGAAGATTTTGTTTTCGAAATGTTTTCATTGTCTTTGCTTTTTTGTGTGTGTGTTTCCATGTGTTTAGTTAAAGGATTGATGTAGTGATGGGGGGAGGATTGAGTCCAACGACTCGCCAGGGGAGGCAGTCACACCACCGGCTGATTTGTTAAGGGGGTGGCTGCTTGGTTTGTACAACCACCCAGCAGGGGTTAAATCCACAACCGACACTTTAGTATTCAGAGATGTTGTTTCGAGAGAAGTTGTATGGGATGACAGTCTTCTGTCAGTGTCCTCAAGATGCTGGCATGGCGATGCTTCAGGAAGAAGACTCTCCTCGCACGACTTTGATCCAACGACAAAGGATTATTACAAACTGCAGCCCAAATCCGCACAACCGAGTCGGGAGGGAATCTTGGCCCGATCGTAGTGACATCCTCCCCCGATTGCTGGACTGCATCTGTTTTATAGGGTTCTGATCAGCACAACGTAAACATTGTCCTACAGTATTTCCCAGATATAGACATGTTTAGGTCTTGGCGACGGATCGTCTGCTGCTGCTGCTGAAGTTCATAGATTAAACTGCTTTTGAAAACTCTGTGTTTTTTTGTTTTGTTTTGTGTTTTGCCGTGACTGTTCCTCCCAAGCATCCCAAGTCCTCCTGTATGATCAGACATGCAGGAGAGCAACTGGAAGTGTGAATTTAAAAGTCTTGCCACAGATGGATTCTCTGTGGATTTTTAGGAATTAACACTCTGACATGCGCTTCGAGCTGACTGCATGTTCAGCATTGTTGTCTTGATTGTTGTCAGGAAGGAAACAAGCGATAACATGCAGGGCAGTGACACTGAGAAACATTGCTTTAGGTGGAGGACATGTTGAAGGAGATTTGCGGAGGTGCAAGTTGCAGACCTTTGTTCTATTCGCTGTCAATTTCGCGAGAATTCACACACATACATTTCTGGAAATGCTTTCTTTTCCCCTTTTTACATTTACTGAAGGTGAATTTGATCGTATTAAGTCTCACCTGCATAGCAGAGGTGAACTGTTCCAATCTGTTCCCAATCTTTGGCACGAGCGGAGTATGTGACGCCCTCGCTGGGCTGTTGAATGGATGAAAAACATTCTGCACGTTTGATATAAAGCGGGAAATGTTTGATTGTTTATATTTGCTCATGTACTAGTTGTCGTCTGACCCACCTTTTCTGAGCAGACTTGGTCAGAAACTCTGCCTTTTCCCCAATCTGCAGGATGAGACAGCGTTGCTCAGAATTAACAGTCCATGTCAACAAGAAACAAACCTGACCTGTGAAGTTAGAGTGTCAGCAATGTGGATATATGTACAATATTTCATTAAAGAAAAGGAGATTGTCTTCCAGAAATCTTTCAGTGTCGTCTTCGACTTTCCGATGGTACTCTAATAATTTTTTGAACTTCTTTTCTGTCTTTTTTTGCTCATTTTCAGTCAGCATGAGGTGATGGACACCAAGGTACTGAAAAACATTCAAGATCAGCATTTAGAACCTTTTTTTTATTAACTACATGCTGCAGGCTTTGAAATCGTGGTAAAGTTAACAACTCTACTCTCCACATCTCACCTTAGAGGAGCCTTTCGGACTGATGGTGAAGTCAGGTTTTGCTGCTTCCTCCCCCATTTGTTTCTTCTTCTCTGCAGCCTCTGCTCTCCTTCTCTCTATCTCCTCCTTCATCCTCCTTCTCTCCTCCTGTTAGAAACACAGCGGTGCAGCCAAAGAGCATGAACTGTCGAAACTCCAACTCCAACTAAAACCCCAGATACTTCCTTTACGGGAAGCACGTAATCACCTGCTCTTTGGCTTTCTTTTCCTCCTGCTCCTTCTTCCTCTGCTTCTCCTCTTCCTCCAGGATTTTCCTCCTCTCCTCCCTCTTCCTCTTGAGCTCCTCCAGCTCAGCCTCCGCATCCTGCTGCTTCTGCTTCATCTTCTCGATCTCCTCGCTCTCGGCGTCGTTCCGCCGCTGCTTCAGCTCCAGCAGCTTGCGCTCGGCCTCCCGTCGCTCGGCGTCCTCCGCCTTGCTGGGAGGAGCGCCGTCCCTGCTGGCACAGCGAACCCCTTATTAGCATTCATTTGGTTTTATGTCAAGGCGTGGTTTTTCACGTTTTACCTTGTGGTTTTCTCTGTTTTCTTCAGTTTATTCTCAAAGATGGCTCCATTCTGTTTGGCAGGTTCATTCTTGAATGGAGAGGAAGAAAAGGTTACATATATTACCTTAACTGAAAGAGAAAAAAATATATATATAAATATATATATTATACGGTACAAGTAAGAATTTTACATACACCTGAGCTTCATATATTGTTGATATATAAATATATTTATTTCTCATTTTATTTATTTTTGATTATTTCGACGCAAAGACAACTTGAGTGACTGTAATAGACAATCACTCATGAATGACTCCATGAATTTTCTCTCATTTACACTGGTGAAAAGTTACACCCACAAATGTATTAATATTTCAGTAAATGTCCGGCTGCAAGCTGAAGTCGATGCGTTTCCCGCTCAGTTCATGTTTGCGCGTGTCGAAAAGCGCCGCTCTGGAGAAAAGATTTATGACGACGTTTGGCCTGAACTGAGAAAGTACGCCTGGACGAGTGACGGTGCGTCCAGGCACGGTGGTGGCAGCGTTACGCTGTGGGATCTGTGTCGCTCCACCTAACAGCGGTAATTCCTGGAAGCGTGTGTGTTTCCTTTTGCAACTTGCTAATGGACGTTTATGCAGATGTTACTGGAGATGCGTTCACTTCACCCTGTGGGAATAATTTGGACTCTTGTGTTTACAGAAAATGCAGAGGACACTTCAACACCCATTTCTAAAATGATTGAACTTCTCTTTATAGCATATTTATTCCACGAAGAAAAAGACAAAATTTCAAAGGCGTACTGAAAAGTCAAAACTGAATACATCGGTGGAAGAAGTGCTGGTTCAGTTTTACCTTCTCCTTAAAGCCAAGTTTCTTAGGTTTCTCCTCCTTCAATCAGAAAAAGATCAGACAGAGGAAAATGACGTAAATATGATATTAATGTTATCATATTTGTACATAAATCTGACAACTTTTAGAATACAATGTCCACAGAGGGAACTACAGTCCTACCTCCTCCTCCTTCTTCTTCTTCTCTTCAGCCTCTCTCTTTTTACGTTTATCCTCCTCCTCCTTTTTCTTCTTCTCTTCCGCCTCCTTTTTCCGCTTCTTGTCCTCCTCTTTCTTTTTCTCCTCCAGCTCCCTCCTCTTCTTCTCTTCTTCCTTCTTTTTCTCCTCCGCTTCTCGTTTCCTCCTCTCCTCTTCCTTCTTCTTCTCTTCCGCCTCCTTTTTCCGCTTCTCCTCCTCTTCTTTTTTCTTCTTCTCCTCCTGCTCTATCTTCCGTTGCTTCTCGGCTTCCTCCCTCTTCTTTTTATCCTCCACTTCCCGCCTCTGATTTTCTTCTTCTTCTTCTTTCCTCGCCTTCTCCTCCATCTCTTTTCGGTGCTTTTCCTCCTCTTCCCGCTTCAGCTTTTCTTCCTCTTCCCGCTTTTGTTTCTCCTCCTCCTCTTTCTTCTGTTTCTCCTCAATCTCCCTTCTCTCGTTTTCCTCCTCTTCACTTTTCTTTTCTTCCTCCTCCTTCTTGAGCCTCTCTTCCATCTCTCTCTGTTGCTGTTCCTCCTCTTCCCTTTTCCTCTCCTCTTCCTTTAGTTTTCTTTCTTCCTCTTCCGTCCTGGCTTTTTCCTCGTGTTCCCTTTTCTGCCTCTCTTCCTCCTCCATCCTCAGCTTTTCTTCTTCTTCTTTGTGCCGTCTTTCTTCCTCTTCTCTCCTCTTCCTTCCTTCCTCCTCCTCGTGTTGGTCCGGAACAGCTTCCTCCTCGGTGTCGTTCGTCGTTGAATCGGGTTCCTCTTGCTCAACTTCGGTCGGTGCCGTTTTCTCCTCAGCCTCCTAGAAAACAAACCGTGTGTCAACATCCTGTGAAGAGACAAAGAGCTGCTTCTTCTTTGTTATTAATAAAAAGAAAGAAACAAAAGCACTTTTTTTCACCTGTTCCTCTTTCTTTTCGTCTCTCTCCTCCTTCCCCCATGAGTTTGTCTCAGTATCTGTGGCTTCCTCCTGAGCAGGCCTCTCCTCTGTTTTCTCCTCTTCCTCCTCCGTGTGTTTGCTGCCTTTGCTGACGGGGGGCAGCTCCTGCAGGCCGCCGTCCGTGCCGTTGGTGGAAATGACGGTGGGGTCGAGCTCCTTCTGCCTCTCCATCGCCTCCTTCATCCTCTTCTGCCTGCGCTCCTCCCTCTTGGCCAGGCGCTCCAGCAGAGCCTGGTCATCCTCCGCTCCTCCAGGAGCGGTCGTGGACGATTCGGTCTCCGTCGCGCTAAACAAACATAAAATCTTTTTATTTATTTATTTCACAAGACTTGGAAACTTAGGTTCACATTTGACTGCAATCAAATCTCATATGAGTGAGTGGATGCTTTGTCAGCTTTGGTCAAAAGGAGGAAGAAAATTGACATTAATGAACTAATGAACTATTATTGCCAACACAATGACAATAAAAACCCTCTTTGGAGAAAGCTTTTAAGAATATCGGTAACTTCCAATAATTGAGATGTTACTTTCACTGAAATGTGACTGAAGGTGCATATCTAATGTTCAAAATTACCAATTAAGTTACATGAAGGTTTTGAAAAATAACCTCCAACTTTCTAGAAAGCAACATATAAGCTCTGGGAGAGACTCATGAAAGTTCAGAAACAGGATTTACTTGATAAGTTCCACGTAGGGCAAAGTAAGTTCTTGGAAAATACCTCGCTGCTTCCTTTAAGTAGAAGCGCTTCAAACATCGGACAGAAGTTGCGGGAAATGAATAAGTTCCTGAAAGTACCTGCTAAGTGTCATTCGTTTTTCATAAAGTATTCCTGGTAAGTTTGGGAAAGGACCTGATGGGTTTCTGAAATGTCCCAGGAAGTAATCTGTAATTTGTGGGGAAGCAACCTGCAAGCCTGGGTTAGAAATGTTCCCTGTCACGCTCACAAACTCGACTGCCAAGCACCCTCAACAAAACTTCCTCTGCCCGTTTGTAACATGTTGACAGTGTTTTTGTCACGGCGAGCGTCAGCAGCGTTGGAAACACAAAGAATGCGAATCCCCTCGGCCGTCTCGTGTGGCCGTCCGGCACCTGTTGGTGTCGGCCGTGTCCGTCGTTCCAGACTCGTCCGAGTCTCTCGTTTTTTTCCTTTCTTCCCTGGCATGTCGCCTTCGCTCTCGGGCCTCCTTCTCCTCCTCGTCATTCATGGAAATGCCCCTGAAAAAACGCGCAGGCAGAACATGTTCACATAAAGGTCTATTGGTTTCAGAGTAGTTCATTGAAACAGTGAAAGGACATGGAACGGCAAGCAAAGATTTGTGCCTCTTTGTTGACATTCGATCTTACTTAGATCAGCGAGTCTCTGTGGAGTGAAACAAAATGTATTCTTTCCTAAAACAAACACTAGGAGCGTCTCCATCTTCTTTGACATAGAAATAAAAACCTGAACATGAAGCAAATTCACTAAATCTTTTCAATTTCTTCTCTTTTATTTTGCTAATGTTCTTCCTTTCCTCCAAAGTTTTAGTAAGATGTTAAGAAAGCATAAAAGTGAAGGCCCTTTGACACAGACGGGCTCCAGCTGTCTAGATGTACATCTAGACATTTTTTTGTTTGTTTGTTTGCTGAGAGAGAAGGAGAAAGACATGAAGAGAGCAAACGTTACTAAAACGGCTCGAGAGCATCGGAGCGGGTCATGGTGCGCTGAAATAGAAAGAGAGTCAAAGCATTCCAGAGTCTGGCACAGTTGGAGAAAAGAGAAGCCGAAGGGCTGGAGGGCGGGCTGGAGGGCGGGCCGGGTCGACCCGCCTGGCAGCAGCTGGCAGGAAGACTGTGAGAAAACAGCCGGAACAGTCTTTCTGCCAGGAGTTTGATCTGTCACCGACTCTAAAGTAGAAGTCGGTCTTGACTTTGTGGGGATGGGAATGAAAAGCCCCACAACGACTTCAACAATAATAGCGTGAGCTAGTTCCTTTTAGATATGCACCAAGGTTTTTTGTTGCCTCAATAGACAACAAAAACTTAAAAGATCCTTCTGATGTTGAGATTTTGCAAACCTCTGACAAGAACTCTCCATGTGCGACCGAGTTCATGTTCGCACTGGAAACCTGTGACTTGTGTCCAAGTCTCCGCTCACCTCTCTGCATCCTGACGCATCTGCTCTCTCCTCTGCCTCCTCAGCTCCATGCGGCGGTCAAAGTCATCGTCCATGTTGCCCCAAGGATTCTCCTCTCTCACTCACTGAAACACACAAACACCATTCTTACGTGCTGCTTGTTGAGTGTTTGCCCCAGCACCTTACTTTATTTCTTCATTTTCATTTTTGTCTTTGCAGTTCTGTGGGAATTATCATCACAATCCAAACATTTGAAAGAGAGAGCATCGAAGACGAGGAGCTTCTTATATGTGGCACGTGAGGCATGCGGACCACCGGACGGCTTAATGATGTATGCGAGAGATAAAAACTACAGTGCACCTTAGTTTACAATACCTTGGCGACCACAAAGTTCAGTCCACAAGCGGCTCTTCCCTCGTCATGAATCGGCCCTCGCAGTCTGGTTTGTATCTCAGCCGTTCAGCAGCTCGGAGGATTCCTGTTTGCTCTTTCAGTGACTTCAACTACCAGAAAAGGCAAAGCCTGCCTCCCTGCTCCCCTCGTTTTCTTTCTCATCCTCCCTTCTCCTCCTCAGCCCGACTCTTGCTTTAAATCCAAAACACTTATCCCTTTTCTGGCAGAAGGGATGAAAGGGCATCCCTTCATTTCAGCGTTTACCGCTCAAAGGTGGGGAAAGCAACAGAAGCCGAAGTGACATGATGACATGGGTCGAAGGTTTTCGACCCACGTAAAAAAATATATATGATAAGATATTAATAATAATAATAATAATAATAATAATAATAATAATAATAATAATAATAATATAATAATAATAATAATAATAAAGAAGAGTTCAAAATGTGTCCAAGGATGCAAACAAACCCAAAAACACATTGCCTTCAAGGGAACAACTTGGTACACGTTGTGAAATTAAGAGTTATAAAGACGAGTTCAGAAAAATTGATGCTACTGAAAATAATCTTGAAACATGTATGAGAGGCATATACGACTTACAATGAGAGGAATGATGACTATCAGTCAAAATGTTTGGAGGATGAATGAAAAAACAAAAACGTTTATTTTTTCCGGTTGGTTGCTATTAATTTAATTCTTCTTACTTGATGCTTTAGTGATGAAGTTAAACCTGAATGACATGAACTGATGTAATTCATGAAAAATACCCTAAATATTAACTTCAGAACTGTGCAACTTTATAAACACTCTGGAAACATGTGATATAATCTGCCTCTGACTTTATAATCTTTGTTGGAGTAAAAATGGGAGCTGTCATCACAATCATGTCGTTGCTGCCTGTGGCGCCTCATTAACAAGTTCATTTGTGGCAGTATTCCAGATTTTATGGCTTCACTCGTACTTATGACTTTTCCGCTTATTATTCACTGCCACAACCCTGAGTTTAATTCAGACTTCGACCTCCACTATGTGCCGGTAAATCTGACGCTACACTAGCTGAAGCCAAAGTTAACTGAGAGGTCGTGACGCATCAGGAAGAGTTTTGTACTTTAAACTTCAGTTTTGATGGAAGACCTCCAGGTTTCTGACTGAGGGTCTATCTTTCAAGGTAGATGGGTCAAATACTGACATGTCAGGACATTTGTTTCCAGTTAAATTGCAAAAGATGGCCTAATTCTAAACAAATAAATAAATAATCTACAACATACAAGGTTTTCTTAACCCCTCAACATTGCAGAGGAACGCCCGCTCGCCCTATTGTTTTTGTATTTTCTGGGGATAAGGCTTTTAATACTCTCCTCGTAATTAATCAGATGTGTCATAGACGTAAACGTGGAGACATTCAGCATGTGGTTAATCAGATGACCCTACTCCCCTGCTCCATACCCAGAGGAGGTTCTCAGTAATAGATGGGGAAAGCACTTTAACATGAATATAGATAAACACTTGCCAGAGAGGCGTTTGCAATCAATCAAGAAGCTGCAGCTCCTTACTCCACTTGACCAAACATGGTCACGTATGAAAAGGTCCCCGACCAGGGTAGGAATTCTTCACAGTTCACGAGCCGCAGCATGCTGGAGCAATGACCTTTTATGCGGCGTGTTTGATTGTTCGTGTGCAGGTCGTTGCCTCGTTTCGCAGCGCAGGTAAAGTTAGAAAAAGAAGGATATCTTGCCCTTCAGTGAGCATGAGAAGAAGCCTAGACTCTTCCTGTTTGCATTTTTGTCTTAATGTATTAAATCACTGGAGTGTTTCTCAACAGTTTTCTCAAAATATAATAGGAAGAAAGAACTGAAAACTGGCGACAGACAGAAATTTTAAAGTTAGCTGTGATTCATTCCACAACAGTGGTTGGAGTGGAAATAAACGGCATGCGGTGGCGTGCCTCCCCACGCTTGGCCTCCTTTTATGGAAGCACACAGGCACAGTCAGCTGTAGAGTCCCCATCTGTGTGATACACAAAGCCACAGAACGTGAGTGACGTTTACTGTAGGAAATACCTGCTGCTGTCAAAAGTGGCAACCTGAAAATAACTTTTCCCTGTTCTCACCAGGAATCGATTTTCCCCAAAACGCCGCCGTTTGGCTTCCTGTTTGTGCATAGGCGGACTACAGCGGCTGCTAAAAGCTGGTTTAATATGAATGGGGATTTAAAGCACAGCTGTAAGCACAGCTGTATTTGATTTAGCTTGAATCCACTTGTCAAGTGAGAACCACCTCCGGTGGTTTGCTAGTGTCTAAATCCACTTCCTCTCCCGTTTAGAGGGTACAGTCCAAAGAGAAACCAGCCCTTAGTGTCACCGAGTTCATTTGTGTTCATAGTAAATGTAGCATGAATGAAACCTGCCCTCAATGACTGAGAACACCTGTTGCATCAAATTAACTGCCAGAGGGGGCGCCGTAGGCACAGAGGGAGGATCCTTCACCTGCCTCTTCATGCTCTGACATGATCATGTTTCAGTGTTTGAAATGTGGAACGCACCATGTTGGGATTGGGAATGGTGTTTTCCTGGGTGAGATGCAGTTTTCTGACAAGACATTGCTTTATGTATGTGGGTCAAAAAAATGAGAGTAATAATTTTATATATATGCACACACACACACACGCACGCACACGCACACACACACACACACACACACACACACACACACACGTACACACACACACACACACACACACACACACGAGTGGCTCTCATCTTGACTATTTAATAAGCTAAAGTTGTTAACAGTTAATAACTGGTTGTTTTACAGCATCTGGTGAGACGAGAACATGTTACAAATACATGCCACACTATTCAGATGTTGCTGCTGGCGGGCAAAAACCTTAAAATCTCCATTTTTGGGGTTTTCTTTTACTAAAAATTTTTTTACTCAGCTTCTGTTTGTGATTGTATGAATGCATTCACAGTGGAAGGTGTCATAGAGCATGTAACCTTGACCTAATGCTATGAATTTACATTCAGGAGTAAGACGTGTTTCTCATTTCTTTATAAATGACATTTTCAGAGAGACAACGTTTCAGTTGGACAGCACTGATTTGTATTAGCGAAGTATTGCGACAACTACGTATCCGTTTCCATCCACTTCACTTTGTATTGATCTATTACACAGCATTCCGATGACACACGTTGACATTGTGAGAAAGTTCAAAAAGTGTACTTTTACTACTTTTGCAAGGCTCACTCAACAGCCTCTGGCTGTTATGCACACGCACAGCCGTTTACATTTTCCCACAGTCCGACCTCAGCGATCACCAGGAGCGAGAGAGCCGGCTCCAGAGGTCCAAACCCATTTTCAGTCCCAATTGAGACCATCTAAGGAATAGAAGTCAGACCAGACTTGGCATGTCCACCCCTGAGTGTCCACAGCCACATCTGCTCAGTGTATGAGAAACAGATTTTAACAACAAATGATGGTCCTGACTCCTGTTTTGGACAGAGCAGATACCCGTGCTAACAAGTCAGATCTGGAGGAGGAAGGAATGAAACGTTGACTTTTACAGCTTTTGCAAATAAAAAATTACGTCGCCACTACTTTTGGTTTTTTTCATGTTCACAGTTTCACATTTTACGTTTAATGCTGTTGAAATTATTCCTTATGAATGACATGCCACACTTTTTTTTACCCCCCCAAGTCAACTTTTCATGCTTTTGAATTCTCAAGTGAAATCAATCCAGTAACATTTTTTAACAGGTTTCTGCTGAACACGGTAAAATAATTTATGTTTCAATGCAACGCTTTTTTGACACAAACAAAATATTCCTCCCACATTCCCATAGTCCAACGTGAGAATCAGCTCTGCGTAGTTCATGTAAAAACTTTCCTTATGTGGGATATTTATGAATGGCTAAGTTGTATATTTCAAAATAAATGAGATGTACAAAGTTCCTTAAGCTCATTGGATGCAACAGGTTATCTAAATGACTGATCCTCTGTCATTCGTGACGTTTACCAGTCAGGTTCTGACCTCTGTCCTCAGAAACAGGCACAGAAGCTGAAAACCTTTTCTGACTCAAAACATTCTGTTTTTTTTAATTATAGTAAATATAATATGACATAGCATTATTCACACAGAACACATTAGTGCACCAAATGTAACAATCAAACTTACCAGGGTGCAGACGAAGCGATTGGTCCTGCTGGAAATCAGCAGATGAAGACCTGCTGGAGGGTTTATAAGCAGGACATAAGGCGCTGAGCTCCGCCTGCTGAAGCTTCAGTAGTTTATGTATGGAATATGGCAGGTGTTATCTGTACAAGCTTCAATCTGAGGTTTTGTGGATGCATTTGTCATGAATTTGTCAAACGTTAATGTCTCCTGAATGTCTTTTGTCAAGATTCAAGCAAAAACAAAACAAAACAAAAAAAACTTAATTGCATTTGTTTTAGTTGTGCAGTCAAAGTGAAAAGTATGATTTGTTTATAAATTTGTAATTTGGACATTTGGAGTGTTGCCACAAAATAGTAGCCAGTGCATTTCATTGCTTTCAGAAGTTACTTAATCATTAAGTCTGTTAACCCGGGACTCTGAGGACAGATCTGGACTTTATGGGGGAGCGGCCGTCCAGTGACACACTGGGAGCCTGTGAAGGGTGTGACCCGGATGTCGAGTGGCATCACCTCAAACATTTGCTATCAAAGCTGAGGAGAGGATAGATGTAGCTAAATAATGCATGATCCAGAAAGAAAGTTGTTTGAGGGTGAAAAGACTTGAGACAGGAGTCTCACTTTCCAGAGGCAGAGCTGCGGTGAAATGGCTTAGATCGAAGAATATTTGTGTGGTGCAAAGGTCCAGTCTGTCCAATTCATAACTATTCACTACTTTGTGTTTCTCTGTTACATAAAATTTAAATTTGTATTCAGTAATGCGACTGAATTGTCCAGATGTAAAAGGTTACTCTTCGCATAATAACTCTTGTCACGTTGGTTGTTCCAAACATCAAACTTGTTGCATCATTTGCATCCATAAAGATAAAGACATTGACATAAAGACGGAGTTTTCTGAGACACTCGCAGTTAAACTGTCCATTCACTCATTTTACTGTTGGCTGAATTTTTTATTCATTTATTTGTTTCAAGTTGACGGGCATACAAAGAACCAGGCTGCGAAGACTTCCTTTGTGGCTTGGGAAAAAAGATTTGCTTACACAGAAATGATTGCACTGGTCTGGGTTCATGTGTTGTAACCCACAGCAGTTTATTGCCTCCAGGCTTCGCTAAGCGACCGGAATCCAACGTATGAACGACCCAAACAATCAAATCGTTTTCTGATCTGTTTCCAGTATCATTTGTCTCACCATAAATTAAATACACTCCTGATGTGACAGAGCTCAGCAAAAAACATAAAAAACCCCCCACAAAGATACATTAACGAAAATTAGAATTTTTATATTACATGGCAACCTTTCATCCGGTAACATCTGTAGGATTGATGATCTGAAACGACAAACATCAGTGCTGCTGACACTCAAATATTTGCAAATTCATGACTTGTCTTTTTCCTGCTGTGACAAAGCAATTCAGGGCACAAAGTAACAGTGACGGTGAAACACAACATGAAAATACAGGTATTGCATCAATTACACCCACAAACAAGAGATAAGAGCATAAAATAAACAGAGTTCTGCTTTATGGCAATGAGTATTCACACTTTGTACCGTTACTCACATTTATAACTTGAAAACTATCAAAAAAAAATACATTAACGATGCTTACATTCCCAATTATTATATTTGCACAAAATAAGACTTACTTTTCACAATAAAGACACATTCAGCAAGGTAACTTAAATTTGAAAACCTTCTTGTTAAAAGTGCAGATCACAGCCACTTCAGGTATTAGTGAGCCGCAGGAGTGCAATCCACATTTTTGTTCCGTACCAGAGGTAAACACTGTATAAACAAACCACTGTGCAATTCAAATGTATGATTTTTCCATGCAAATGTGGGATTGCAATGGCATATTTTAACAATATATTGAGCGTTATTTAATAAATAAGTAGATTACATGAAGCTCTCTAGCAAGTCCTAATGTAACAGCAATATATACTTTAAAAGACTAATATGAGCTTTTGCAGATTTTGTTTTTGCTTCATTACTTTCTGTAGAAAAGAATAAGTAAATAAATCAAGACCCACAAACAGACAGCTAAGACAAGGAGCAGAGTTTTCCCCAAAACATTTACACACAAAACACAGAACAGCAGCTTGCTAAAACATTTAGAGTACACATTGTTTTCCTGATCTCCTACATTTCCAGTGTATCCTGTTCAAGCCAACAATCACACATTGTAGCAAGTGTAACATTGAGACGTAGGAACCTCACAACTGCAGAGAGTTGTTGTTGTTGTTCTTCTCATTATTGGCTAATACTGCTATACAGAATAATTCAAGTCTGTTTAAGACTTATTACATCCGGCTACTTGCCGGATGTAATAATCCAGGCAGCAGGCAGTAAAGGCAGTGTGTGTGTGTGTGTGTGTGTGTGTGTGTGTGTGTGTGTGTGTGTGTGTGTGTGTGTGTGTGTGTGTGTGTGTGTGTGTGTGTGTGTGCGTGCGCGTGGTCAAGTCGCTTGTTTAGCCTTGCCCTGGTCCTCCACCTTTTTAATGGCGGCCTGAATCTTGGCCTGGTCTCCCAGCAGCTGGCGAGGCTTCACTGGTTTGAGGTTCTCGTCCAGCTCCAGCTGCACCGGCACCCCGGTGGGCAAAGTCACGTTGGCGATGTCTTCGTCCGAAATACCTGTCGAAACAAGTCAGTTAATTGAAGAGATTCACACATTAAATTGTCAGTTCACAGTTAATCTATGACAACGTTTCTTCATCAACTACAGTCAAAGCTACGTTGCGCTCAAACTGACGACCGTTTTGATAAAGCTTATCCTGTAGGATTCATACAGCTTACCAACTGTGTTGGAGTCGCTTTATATTCCAGTATATAAATCAAAACTGCGTTTTGACGTTACCTTGAGATGACTTATTTGTTGAGCATCAGCATTATAAAAAACAAGCTAAATAGAGTGACATTGAACAGTTTTATGTAATATCAGTATCTTTTCGTCAAACAGCCCTCCCCCTACGCACTCAGTTCCTGACAGCACGACTGCAACTCTTACGTAGGTTGAAAAGTCCCCTGTTGCCATGGAGATGGTGGTTTAAAACAGAAAACCCTTACCAGGCAAACCAGATCAAGAGACTCATCACTTACAGTATGAACTGAAATAAATTTGGTAGCAATAACAGGCGGTGGGAGCTTCGTATTTTCATAAACCCGACCAGTGTGGGAGGTGGAGGTGTCTCCTGTGCCTGGAGAAAATAACTGCACTCCTTTTTACTTCCTCTGACATTTTGTCACATTTCGACCAGAAACCTTTTCGTGGATGTTAGGGCGCAGAACTGAACTGAACTGCAAACGATCAGATGAGCTCAAACTTGAACCTTTTCGTTTGTGCCGAGTGTAATCTGACGATGCGCATCTCCCTGAACGCCCGATCTCTAGCGTGACACATGGTAGTGGCAGTATTATACCGTGGGAATACTTCAGCCAGGGTGAAGAAGCTACCCCAGCACAATCCTGGAAGACAACCACTTAGATAGAGGCTGCGTAGAAAAACATCTCAAAAAAAAAAAAAACTGATGGTACTGAATCTTCTCATATCCACTGGCATGCGTTCAATGAATATTCTTGCTCACTAATAATGCAAAATATTTTTGGAAAGGTAAGGTAAAAATGTATGATGATTACGAATACTGAAGCTGATGAATGAGACACGGCCCCCTCAAACCCTAACGCTTACAAGTGTAGTAAAAGGTCAGCATGGATTTCATATTACACTTAAATGTAACACAAACTTGCTGATCTTTCTGCACAAGTTCAAGCTTCCCTGTTTGGACCTGAAATATTTTATGTACTTTCTTGTTCAGTGACGCTGTTGAGCAACAGTGATCTTTAAAAAAGATGATTTCACTCCATCTATAAAAAAGAAAAAGAAAGAAAAGCGCAACACCGAGGCATACTGCATACCTTCCACGTGTTTAAGGATGGCCCTGCAGCTGTTTCCGTGACCAGAAATGAGGACGGTCTTGCCTTTCAGGATCTCGGGGACCACAGTGCTGTTCCAGTACGGCAGCAGCCTGTCCAGAACCTCCTTCAGGCTCTCAGCTCGGGGGAGGTTCTCATTCGGCACGTCGCACATGGCGTACCTGCGGTCGTTGTAGATTTCCCCATAATAAGGGTGGGACTCATCAATCAGAGGCGGAGTGATGTCATAGCTCCTTCTCCACTGCTTCACCTTTTGCTCTCCGTGCTGCAGAGCCATCTCAGCCCGGTTGAGTCCGATCAGGGCCCCATAGTGGCGCTCGTTCAGCCGCCACGACTTGATGACGGGGACCCACTCCTGGCCCATGGCCTCCAACACCAGCCACGCCGTGTGGATGGAGCGGCTGAGCAGGGAGGTGAACACCAAGTCGAACTTGTATCCCTGCTCCTTGAGAAGCCTGCCGCAGTCCCGGGCTTCCTCCACCCCCTCCTTGCTCAGCTTCTGGTCGACCCAGCTGCAGAAGCGGTTCTCCTTGTTCCAGGCCCCTTCGCCATGCCTCAGCAGAACCAGTCTGTACTTAGACATCCGAAGATCTAGAAGCAGAGGAGTCATGCACATTACTTGATGGGAACAAAACAAAGCTGGGTTTTTAAAAACAGACACGGGATACCCTGTCAACAGTGCCTGTTTCCAATTTTAAGTAGCCATGTTTTTTTGAATTACTATTGTTCCAAATACTACACCGTATTTATTGATTGTTTGTATTTTATGTATTTCTAAAGTGTGTTTCTATGCATTCGCTTCTCTTCTCATCCAGGTCACCCTTGAGAAAGAGGTCTTGAGATCTCAGTGGGTTTTCATCTGGTTAAAGAAAGGTTTAATGAAACAACAGCACATCACAGGTGGGTGATCTCAATTTCAAAGTAGGGAGAACTCCTTAGAGTCGATGCCAGATGAAACAGAGACCTGCTGAAGGGGTCGACATCGCCTCATCAATTATCCCGACTGAGAAAGAGAATCAAAACAGTAGTATCGGTGTCATCCATAACAGGAGCATTGCTGATGAACGGTGCGGTCAGGAGGATGGGTGACCCGGCGTCCTGACTATCAGCGCGCCGGTTAACGCTGCACAGCCGTTCAGTAAAGCGACAAGGCCGATGTAATTTCTAATCTTCACCAGAAACGGTCGAACTGTGTTGAGTGAAATGCATCGCCTTACCCCGGTGGACTTGGAAAAAAAAAAAAAAAAGAAAAGAAAAGAAAAAAACCCGACAGAAATGCCGTCGACACTCTCGTCAATGTTGACAGGAATCGCCAGGCCACAGCAACGTCCGCTCGGTGCGTTGGTGACTAACGTGGCGGTCGTCCAATCGGAGAGCCGTATCAGCCTTTGTGGGCGTTCCCCGCCGTGTCTGTTATGCCATATTAGGAGAGGGGGGGGGGGAAACGGTTCAGGCAAAGCTCGCGGTAGGGGAAGGAGAACAGAGAGCAAGAGGAAGAGGAGGTCGCAGCTACCGCACTGTGAACATATTTCTTGTTTCCATGAGTTACATGCGTTTCTTTAAAGGTATTTTCAACATTGTCTGTAGAAGTAGAAGTACAGTGCATCCATTGCTAGAGTCCTGTCAGTACTCGTAGCGGACATGGGCAGTTCTCGCGATAATGGCGTCCTGGTCGAGACCCTCCTTAACTCACAAGGAAGAAAAAAAAAAACAATATACATGCAGACCCCGACTTCAGAAACAAAAATGAGCTGGGGGAGGAGATTTAATTTAATATAAACACATGAACAAACATTTATGCAACCTTTCCAATAAAATAGCCAGACTTATTAATACATAAAATGTTTCCAATTCCTGAATTCTTTTGTTTTAACTGTTAAATTAATCTTTCAAAATGTGCTGGAAAAATATATGATTAATTTTGTGACATGTGTGATGAACTGGCGTCCTGTCCAGGGTAAGGTACCAGGCCTCTTCCTTGATGACTGCTGGGGACAGGCACCATCTGTAGGGAGCTTGTTCTTCAGCAGGGACAAAGAGAGCTGATCAAAGTTGTAATAAAACGCCTTTGAGTAAATGTTTAATTCCAAAGCTGACATACCGTGAAAGATTTGCGTCCGCAATCACAGCAAAATGCAAAATCACTGACAGCAATGAGAAATGAGACTTTTTAAGCGTTAGAGGAGTCCAGCATGTATGTTATAGTCTCGTAATTTATAGCAGGCTTCAAGAAAACGCCTACAAATATCTGTGCAACAAAGCAGACAAACCCAGAAATGAGGATGTGATTTATTAAGGTTTTTGCAGAGAGCAAACAACTGGTTTTCCTACAACAATGTTGGACATTTTGTCATGTAACAGTTCCAAAGTGTGAATGAAGGCATTTTATGTAAGACTCCTTGAAAATACAGTGAAGACACGACAAATATTTTTGAGAATATACTGATATTTTGTCAGTGTTCTCAATAAAAACAACAGCATTCTGAATATGTTTCACATGTACTTTTAGACATAAATCATAAGACTGGTTTATCTCCAAAAACGCACAGTCATTTTCAACACTGAGGGTAAGAACCTCAGTGTTGAAACATGATTGGCTGGTCACAACCTGAACTGTTATAAAAAATATATATATATGCACTGTCCTTTCAGTCTCCCCCCCAAAATTAAAGGAGAATAAGATTTTTAGGACAATTTTAAATTTAAGACTGATTTAAATTGATAGATTTCTCTTTTTGAAGTCAGTGACGATGAAGAAGACAAAGAAGAGGTGAGGTGAAATAGTGAGGTAATATTACTTAAGTGGAGCAGAGACAAAAATGATCCCAAAGTTTTCATTGTCACTTACAAACCCAAACAGCGTCAGCATTTATACTTTTCTTAATTTACAGCAGTGATCAAAGGGACGTTGATCACAGATCTACTGGGCAGCGTCAAACAGCTTCTTCCTTCCCTCCATCCCAGACATGGCGTCCACGTTCTTACGCCAGTCAGTGACTTCTTCTTTCTGTGTCATCGGAGCAGAACATTTGAATCAGTTTACCCTGATTAAACCCTTGAGATGATTTGAAGGTCAGTGAGATGTGGATGATTGCTTGCTTAACGTTGCAGCGTTAGTATTAAGTTCTCTATGCATTCGTGTTTTTACTCTAAGCGGCTTAAACAAACATTTGACCCAGCACACAAGTCTACATCCTGCACTCTTACCTTTTCCTCCTCTTTCTTCACTGTCTTTAGGTTGGCCTTGAAGTCCACTGACTCTTTGACCTTGGCCCCCAGCAAGGCTCCCAGCATGGCCCCTGCAGACACCCTCACCTTCCTCAGGTTCGGTCTCTTCATCTTGCCCTTCAGCTCAAAGACCTTTTGAGACAAGTTCTGTATCTTTGTGGAAAACAAACCACAAACCCCTCTTTACAATTAAAACACAAGGTTTTGAATTTCCACCATGTGTAGATCGCATGTGGCAGGGTTAATTTTATTAATTAAAAACAATTATTTTCCTTTTTGTCTTTTTTACAAAACGAATAAATAACAATATGTTAGATATTTTGCTTCATCATTAGAAGACGAAAATAAGTCAAAGCATTTTGCGCGTCTTTACCAGAACGCCCAATAAATGTGGATGTTGCTGTATTTACTGGACTCACTCACCTCTTTCTCATTTATTGCGACTTTGCTAGCAATGTCATAGCGCTCTTCATCCACCTTGTCAATTTTTTGGTGAATCTCTTTGCAAAGATTCTGTGGACAGAAATATTTTGTTTAACAGACTGATTAGATGACTTTAGGCTTAGAGAATATAAGTTGACTAACAACAAAATAGATATTAAAAATGTGGAAGCTAGTTGATGTGAACAACTCTCTGGAGCAAAACCTCTTAGCAGCAGCAAAAAATGTGAATTTAATTTGAACTTGTGGCAGAGATTTACCCGACCATCAGGACAATGACAATTAGCTGACGGCTAGAGCTACAATAAAATGACTCAAATCAAAACATCTTTATTTGTTAGATTGGCCCAGTCAAAGTCCAGCTGTATGGCCAGCGGTGAATCTATGTCAGATATTTTACTTCATCATTATACACTATTTTTTTTTCCGACCTGTCGCATTGCGTACTAATGAAAAGTATAATAAAATGTAAATGTGTAAAAAGGTTAAAGAATGACAAAAACAATTTATCTTCTTAACTTCTATTGTATGATAAACTGAATCTATTTTAAGGACGTTTATGGCGTATTTAGAAAAGACGTATCAAGTAAACTTAGGTTTAACGATTTTGTAATTTTTTTTAATAGATATTTTTCTCTCCTGGCAGTTTTTAGATGAATATTTTTCAATGATTGGGAGTAGAGCACATTTTATTTGTTGAAATAAATAAAACCCATGACTAATTACATTGAGGTTTGATGACCAGGTATTAAATAAATAAGACAAGAGTTGATTTGGAGCAACTGATCTGTTCAAAAAAATGGCAAGCTGGAATGCATGGAATTTTTCTTCACATCTTCAACCTTAGAAATCATAATATACTAAATTAAAGGTGATAAGTGGACCTGTAGTTCCTGCATCGAAAGGCCTGACAGTTGGAGTGTTGGGTGTCTTTCGTCAAGGATCCTCTGTTTATCAGCTGTTCTGGCTTGCTTTTCGTTCTCCAGCATAGTCATCGCCTTCTTTAACAGTTTGGTCTGGAAATAAGCACACACCGTTTTCTAAGCTTAATGGTTGTGGACACACTTTAGCCAAGCTGGACATTATTTATATAGGGCATACCTTCAAGAACAATCTGCGGGATGCAGAGATTTTTGGCTTAGGTTTCTGTGACAGAATTAAAAAAATAAAGGATTAAGTTAGCATTTTTTGAGGTGTGCATCACTTTTTGTACAGTGACGGTAGAAGCAGTTTTAAAGCACAAAAGCTAAACATAAAATAAATTGTTTTCTTTTAGCCAAATACAGTAGATTGGTATCTATTTGTCTAAATGTACTTTCTTAATTCTCACAATGTATTTGTGGAATTAAAGGCCCAAGCTGTTAGAATACATTGTTTTGCTGACATGTCTAAAAAATAAAAAAATTAAAAAAAATAAAAAATCAACATAAACCCATAGAAACCATTTGGACTCACCGAAGGGCTGTTGATGGGAAAATTTGTGTCCATAGTGAAAAGAAGAAAAATTGATTAATTGTTGTCAATAAGTGATGAAGAATAGGACTTCTGGGGTTGAACTTACGTTCCAGACATGATAGAAGTTCCTGGTGCCTCCTTGTTTGGGTCTGTAAATGTCAGACAGATGGGGTAAAAAACATTGGCTATTTTCTTGACTATAAACACTGGAAATTAGAAATTAACCTAAACTTGAAGATCACTTAAAATTGCAACTAAAATGCAAATAATGAAAAATAAGAAAACGTGAACTTTCATCTTCAAACTTTTGCAAGGTAAAAACATTTTTAAAACATCTCTGCTTTAAAAATGTGTCTTTTGTCCGATACACCGGGTTTCTTTCTTTAATGAAAAGATTTTCTTACCTTTAACAGTGAGGTTTCAATGTTCAAGAGTTCCCTTGTGTGTGACTCAAGGGGATGAAAGAGGGCAGATATATAGATTTCAGGGCTCATGTGAGTGGCTCACTGAAATAGACTCTCCATTCTTAGACTCCATCTCTTGTACTTCACATGTATGAGGTGTGAAGTTCTTAGAAGTTCTGAGGACGGTTCACCTGTGATGCTTTCTTGGTTTGTCTCAAGAGGAGCAGGTGAAATCCGATAGTGCAGTTTACAGGCACGCAAAATAAATAAATAAATACATAAATAAATAAAAAATAAATATATATATATATATATCGAAGTACATCCTCTTTAGCTTCTTGGGGTTTCATGGCTTATCTAGGAATTAAAGTTTTCTTTTCCTTTTTTTTAAAAATTTCCCCAATGTTTCCTGTTTTGGAGTCTGTTTTCCCTATGCAGGAGACATATTTTCTAAAAGTACGTTTTTTTTTTATTTATTTTATTCAAAGCGTTTATTTTTAATTTATTGCTTTATTATGGCTTACCTTATGGGAAAGTTTAGGAAATATATAAGAGCAGAAAACTTGCAGATAAAAGGAATAATTGAAGAAGGCCACAATCATTTTTATGAACATGACATTTTATATAATTACTATTAATCTATTTAGTAGGCACGTGTCACTTTCCCCAAATAAATAATGGGATTTTTAGTTGTATTTTAATTTGTTGTTATGCATTTGTAAGATAAATTAAAGTTGTGTGATATGTACAGTTAGATTAAAATTATTTTCAAATCCTTTTTAAATTAAAAGCCCAGATGTGACAAATTGTGTAATTTATTTATTTATTTTATTATAATAGGTCAAAATAAACTTGGTCAAGTATGCTTTCAAAGAGAATTTCTAAATTTAAATAGAAAATAACACATAATCCCCTTTTTTGTGGAGGATATGAATATACAGAAACTAACAGTAATATCATTTTTTGAGTTTTAGAAGCATTTTTATTGGCTGATGTTACTTTTGTAGCGGTACCACAACAAGTCAGTTTGTCACAACTGAGAACTGTGTCTAAATAGCAAACAATATTGTTTAAAATCACCAAACGTTTCTGAACGTTCAAAGTTTCTAGAGGTGCTGAAAAATTAAAGAGCTCTGCTGCCATCTGCTGGAACAAGGAGCACAATTCTGCAGCATTGTTGATGCAGCAATCATTTCCCTAAACCTCGAGTCTCCCTTAAGTGTTTCTTTGCATTCAGCAATACAATGTGCGGATAATATTACGTTATAATAGTGCCTTTTACAGAAAAGCTAGTGTTTTTGTCTTCAGTTGCCAGAAGCGTCAAAGAGCTTCTTCCTGCCCTCCATCCCAGACATGGCCTCCACATTCTTACGCCAGTCAGTAACCTCCTCTTTCTGATAGAGAACAAAACAAATTGGACAAAAACATAAGAAAAAACAAAAAAACGTATTCAGGTGGATAAAAACCAGATTCACCTTTTCTTCTTCCTTCTTGACAGTTTTGAGGTTTGCCTTGAAGTCAATCGACTCCTTGTGTTTGGAGCCCAGCAGAACGCTCAGCATCGCTTCAGCTGAGATCTTCACTCTCCGCAGGTGAGGCTTCTTGAACTTGCTCTGAATCTCGGTAATCTTCAGTTTCATGTTTTCAATCTGCCCAACGGAGCACGTGATTATATCATTCTACCGCAACATTACTGAAGATAATATCATTTTTATCTTTCGTAGGTATATTGCTCGGTGATATTATTTAAGATTCAAGCTGTGAGATGTCATCATACCACCATGGTGCGGCTACAGGATGTTTCTAGTTGAGCTGTGCAGTTCTCATGGGATGGACTTCAGTTGTTGACTTTATTTTTTATTTCTTTGGTTCTATCATGTCATGTCTGATTTGTGAACATGCTTGTGGTTTTCAGCTGCTTCCAAAAATGTAGCATGTAGTGACATCTTGTGGTATAAATCTCAAATTGCAACCAAGTTGGCATAAATGGAGAAAAAAAAAAGCCCGGCATTTTATTTTGCCACTGTTGTGTTTGGGAATAGTTTATGACATTATTTAAAAGTATGTACAAAAATACTAGTGTATCTTTAAGGGCTCTAATGAATATGGATTTTTGCCTCAGCTTCACAAAGTTTCATTTCAAGTTTTACTTTAGTGTGCTATTGGGCCAAAAGTGATCATTTTAGTGGTATTTTGGAGACTAAAACTTAATTTAAATCTTAAAATACATGGACAAGTGAAATGACCTTCGTCTTGCATTGCTGTTCAGTCTTAATGATCTCACCTCCACATCGTTTTTGGAAACTTTCAGGCTAACATCATAGCGTTCCTCGTCCACAATATCAATCTTGCGGTGCAATTCTTTGCACAGATCCTTTAATAAAAAGACAATAACATTGTGGTACATTTAATAGTATATTAAATGTACCACAAAATAAACGTTTTTTGTGATTAAAAAGAAAGTAAACGTTTTTTGTGATTAAAAAGAAATACCTGCAGTTCCTGTAAAGACAGACCAGAAAGATTCAGCGGAGGAAGTCTCTCTGCCATCAAGGCTTCTTTCTCCTTTATCTTCTGATTTTTTTCCTCCTCCAGCATTTTAGTAGCAACTGCCAAAAGTCTGATCTAAGAGTGAAAATCCATAAACATGCAGGATTTATCCTTTTTTTCCCCATATTTTTTACTTGTAAGTATATGCATTACTTATGAAAAATGCAAAAGAGCATAGATTTCATTTTTAAAAATGTGCTTGCAATGTACACCTTTAAGAATAAGTAATCATAAACCTATTATTTCTCATACTGCAGTCTATCTGCTGCAGCAGGCAGACTGCACTGTGAAACTGAAATAATAAAACTGAAATAAGCTTAGAGGACAAAATCAATTAAATAAATAGGCAAACATTTGACGTCACACAACCAAAAAATAATAACAACACAGACGACATGAAACTCTTACTTTTAGCCCCAGCTTTCTGGAGGAGGAGATCTTACATTTTTTCTGTAATTCACACATAAATAATATTTACTTCCACCTTCTGTCTTGCACAAAACATGAGTAAAATGTATATCGCTGATACTTACATGTCTTTGGAGACATTCGTAAGAGAAATGAAACATTATCATTTTAGATCTCGTACAATGCAATAACCAGTGGAAAAACACACGAGAGATGATAGCACTTACCCGTCCGACATGGCTGACTTCAACCAGCGTACTAGAATGTGGAAAATAAATCCATTAAAATAAATCTGTTGTTAAACACACTGCTGCTTCACTGCCTTTTAGTACATTCTGCATGCTTCATATCAATTAACTTTTACAAGTTAAATCCAAGTCTAAAAACTCCTGCAAATTACAAAATTACATTTGATTGTTAAAGCAAAATTCTTTTGAATTGAGAGTCTATTAGACGTTTGGAAAGGTTTCAAGCGAATGTGCTTTGAAGAGTCAGAGCAGTGCAAGTGTTAATATATCTGATGAGAGGTTCGCCATGGGTGACAAAGCAGTTAAGTGACCAGATAATCCGCAGGCATGTGGGAAGACTCTGTTCAGCCTGCTGCTAATGTTAAACAATAACACTGCTGCCCGCTGAAATGGCCTGAGAGAACAAGATGCTACTTTGACGTAAAGAGCCGTGATAGTCGCTGCTAGACACCGTGAAATAAAGAGAAATATACTCACACTGAGTCAAACAATGAAAGTGCGGGTACCAATAGGAGCAAGCAACACACCGCCTGGCGATCCAACCTCAAGGAGCTCCTTGTACGTTCTGAAAAAACAAAACAAAATACATCTCTCAAATTTATAGTGTCTCCTCCAAAGTAGAATGGCCCACTAAAATAGAGTGGTATCTGTTTTACTACCTCTGTCCGTCCACCAACAGTGACATTTACAGGGGTTCACAACAATATTCGAGCTGCGTAGGGGGTATCATTAAGCCTGCTCCTTGGGTTCAGATATTTGGTTATGTATAAACATAATTTCTACGACATCTATTAGTGGAAATGGCAGCGTGTCCTTAGAGAGGGTCAAGGTCGGAGTCGTGACAGAGCGGGGCCAGCTGGAAAAGTTTAGATGAAGATGTCAGGGAGTCGAGCAGAAGGGAAGAAGTTAGAGTTACTTCCTTCATTTGGGCTGTGTTTTTATTTATAGGAAAACTGCATGGTTCAAGAGGTCCAGAAGTAACATAGACTACCCCAGATTATCTATTTAGTCGTCTGCTATTAATATCAACTAAATCTGGTGTTTCGTTCCCAAACATTTGAAACTGACTCAAAATGATTCATGGTTTTTCCTGAAAATGTCTCTTTCCTTTCTCTAGCCATGCAAAGTAAAACAGATATTTATTTATAGAGTGCGTGCATTTTCCATGACCAAATTTTGTCACAATTCTTGTTTATATTTGCAGCTGCATACTTTGGCAGTCGTCTCATCACACTTTGCACAGGCTGCATTGAGGAAAGACAAAAGCCAAAGGTTAACTCAGTTTTATTTTGGCCTGCAGAGGAACAAGGACAGGTGGTCTGTGGAGCTCGATGGTTTGTAAACTGAGCCAATGTGATTTCAGCCTGGCTCTGGATTCACACTGTAACCCTTTGCACACACCAAAGAATGCACACAATCATAGTTAAACTATAAAAAGGTGACTTATATAAATATGTATATACACACACACACAGATCATTACATGATCATTCTCTTCTTGCCTCTGTGGTCTTCTGCTGCAGTGATGTTGAGGATTTAGATATTAGCAGGTGAATGTTGTTTCTTCTTCTAGCCAAGAACATTAAGTTCTTGGTTTATGTGGCCGCACTGTTATTGCCAGCCTTATAAAATAAGCATAAAAAAGAGAACTGCAGCATCAGCTTTAAGTTTTCACCACAACATTTTATTAACTTTGATATTCTCAGGCATCTTAAGGTCAAGAAACATTTGTTTTAAGGTAGACATAGAAGCAGTGCAAATGTTTCACAAGTGCAAAACCCACAAAACAAAACAGTGCAATTAACCCTGATGCAAAAAACCCCCCAAAAAACAAAAACCAACAAACAAAAGGATTGATGCAATTATTTTTCTTTAATAATCTAAGTAATTTGGAATATTGCATGTATAGTCTGCAGATACAGTCATGCGTGCTGAATCCTGTCTCGTGTGTTTGCTAATTGTATGGAACAACAGTCCCTGCAAGGACTTCTATAAATTTTTAGCCCGTAAAACTGCATTTATCATCAAAATGTCCACAAAGACAAATCTACTGGTTGGCATTGAAGAGCTTCTTTCTGCCCTCCATTCCAGACATGGCTTCCACGTTCTTCCTCCAGTCTGTCACTTCCTCCTTCTGATGAGGCAAAGAACATAAAAAAAAGTCTCAGCAGGTTTGAGAAATACTACACACTATACATATATAAGTATGGACAAAATAATGGATGTAAAACATTGAAGAATGATTTTTGCAATTGAGTAAAAAGCAGCAATAAAACAGGGCACCTCCATTATTATCTCTATCCACAGTTGTGACAAATGGGGAAAATCATTTGAATTCTTGCTAAATTACTTTCTTTTCCAAAGGTTAGAAATATAATTAGAATTTGATATGTGAGTAATGAACTGATTCAGTGATGGGGTGTTGCAGTTCTGTCACATAACTGAAGATAATGTAGCTGTTAAGATACGGTCATTTACCTTTTCCTCCTCTTTCTTCACAGTCTTGAGGTTGGCTTTAAAGTCCACACTCTCTCTAACCTTTCCACCCAGCAGAGCTCCCAGCATGGCGTCAGCAGAGATCTTTACTCTCTTCAGAGCAGGTCTCTTCATCTTACCCTTCAGCTCAAAGACCTTCCGATTGAGATCCTCAATCTGTGGATCCGAATGTAAAAATTCAAGCACAAAGAACACATTTAGTTCAATCTGCGGATATTTTTACTGACTGACTGATCCTTACTGACTTTTACTAACTAAATGATGCGGAGAAAATAATATTAAACAGAATTTGTTGTCACTTAAACTAGACGAAATGAAGCAATGAATCCAGACCTCCTTGATGTTTTTGGCCACCTTCGCGTCGATGTCGTACCGTTCTTCATCTGCCACATCTATCTTGCGGTGCAGCTCTTTGCACAAAGTCTGGGAACAAATAGAAATTAGCAGCTTCTCCTCAAAGTTTCTGTGTTTATTATTTAGTATAACGCTGCAGGAAACTGGCTATCTCAAACCTTATCTTAGAAGATTTCTAATCTTATGATTACAGTTAAAGCTAGTGTCGAATATAACCTATAACCTATGCCACAGTGATTTTACTGTTTGCTAAACATCTACATGACTCTTCCTCAAAAGCGCTCACCTGAAGGTCCTGAACAGACAAACCAGACAGCTGGAGAGGAGGAACTTTCTCTGTGAGAGTCACTTCTTTCTGCTGAATCCTCTCCTGCTTGGTCTTCTCCAGCATCACAGCTGCTGTTTTCAGCAGCTTGGTCTGTCAGGCAAAAATAAAAAAAAATAGATCAACCAATTCTCCATTTGAATAAAAAACAACAACAAGAAAAACAGACACTTTATAAAAGGAGACACTACCTTCAGATGTAGCCTTCGAGATGCAGAGATCTTTGGTTTTCTCTTACAGACAGAAACAAAAAAAGTCATTTTATTCTTATTTTGGTTTAATTTGAGCTGCAACAAATATATTAATTTCTTACTTGTCTGTGGTGGACATGATTACGTGAGAAAAACAAAGGAAGAAAGGAAAAAGGTAGTGAGGACAATTTCTATAATTTTTTTGTATAATCAGTATTCTTTCACAGACATAAGAAAACGTTATCACTTACACTTCAGACATGTTTTTCGCTCCTATTGAAAAATTAGAGTTTTATTATTGTCGGCAGTTCAGGTGACTTCATTTGACTTGATGGTTATTGCAGTATAAAATCTATTTTCATGTCGATTTGATTAAATAAAACGTGTTTTGAAGTTTTTCTGTAGTTACACACTTTTTATTGACACTAGTTTCGCTGAGCCGAGTCAACCAGACCTTGGGCCTCCATCACACCAACGCTGAGCCTTTAAATTAGTAACACTTCATGCTCAAGGGCTGTGAATACTTGGAATGATTTTCCTTTTTGAATCCCATTCGGGCTCTAGCCAAGTGGAGAGCAGCTATCTCAAAATCGCATTCAGATTTAGTTTGTGTAAACTAAATTTATAGCACAAGTCAGGATTTTCTTTTTTTCTTTTTTAAATTGCAATCTCAGCTATTAATTGGATAAAAAGTCACAATACTGTCTAAAATATCTAAATTTTGGATTAAAAATATGTATATTTGCAGCACTTTAGTGTATAAACAATAAACAAAATTTTAAGCTTCCTGCTAAATATGCCAATGTAATCTAAACTCAAACTTTTAGTTGTTTTTTTTTTTAAACCATATTGCATTGGGTGAAATGTGTCTGAAAATCATTATATCTACGCCACATTATCCTCAAACAAACAAGGAGATTAACGTACCTTATATTTAATCTCTGCGGAAAACAAGTTGATATGATATGACTCTGACTTTAAATAACAAGAACTAAACTCAAGTCTCAAATTTTATAGCTCCTATTGCCTTCTGTGAGTGGCCAACTAAAATAGTGTCTTCTGTCCTGACAGCCAACTAAACTGTATATCACTGCTCTCCCATCACCCTATGCCAGGTGTGTGTCTCAATATGATATAAATACATATATACACATAACTTTTTCCCCAGAGAAAGTCATATGTGTTTGAAAATCTTCTGAATCTGGTTATGCGTCTGATTTTGAAACACATAAGTTCAATATTTTGCAACGGTAAGTTTTTTTTTTTTTTTTTTTTTTGTGCCTTGAATCAACTGCAGTTGTAAAAGTTTAGTAAAATGAAAATTGCCATCTGCACAGTCAAACTGAGTGATTGATCTTTCAAAACTATAAAAGTGGAAAAAAAAGAGAGAATTCAAACATTTGGTCATGGTGCTTTATTCAGCTGAATGTGTATTACAAATAGGGAGACAGCACCATCGTCTGTCCACTACAAATACTGCACTTCCATGGCATAAAACCTATTTTTTCTTTCTTTTTTTTCTTTTTTATTACCACAATATCAGTTTGCATTCAACTATGGCTGTCATTCGTTTAGCGGCATCATAATTTACATTTACTCACGACTAAACGTTGTTATAATCGCTTCATTTCAGCATGAAATTGAAAACTTTTCAAACGCTCACAATACGATTTCACTCGACGATTGCAAATCTGTAACGTTAGCATTTGGAAATTACTGATTGTTTAATATGGGCATTGTTTCACTGTCCTGCATTAAATAGCTTCTTCCTGCCCTCCATCCCGGAGAGGGCCTCCACATTCTTACGCCAGTCGGTCACTTCTTCCTTCTGTTTGAAGAAGAAAAGAAAACAGAAATAAATGATTGACGGCAATTTTGTAAATTTTTTTTATATTTGCTTGGATTTTTGGCGTTTTACCTTATCGTCTTCCTTTTTCACCGTCTTGAGGTTTGCCTTGAAGTCGGCCTTCCTGAGTTTGGAAGCGTCCGTGCACGCGCCCAGCATGTCGTCTGTGGTTTTCTTCACTCTCTTCAGGCTGGGCTTCTTCATCCCCTTCAACTCGATGATCTTCTGTTTCAGTGACACAATCTACCAAACAAGCGTCCCCGTTTAGGGAAGACCGTAACGTCTGCACGCATGATTACCAATCAAAACGTGACTCAAACCTTCTGTGTACCTCGTTCTCGTTTTTGTTGACTTTAATTTGCATGTCGTAGCGGGTCTCGTCTGCGACATCCAGCTTCTGGTGCAAGTCTTTGCAAAGTGCCTTTGAAAAAAGGAGAGGATGCCTTCAAAAGGACGTCAAATCGTCATGCGTTGCTCAGCAGTATTTTTCGCTAGATTACCTGGAGTTCCTGGACTGACAGTCCTGACAGCTTCAGCGGAGGAACGCTCTCATTCACAACTCTTTCTTTCTCCAGTTCTATCTCTCGACTTTCAGCAACCAGCATAGAAGCTGCCTTCTGCAGCAGCTTACCCTAAGATGCAATGCGGCCACAGTTAGCGAGCTACAGGTAAACATAACTAGGACTTTCAAAAAGCATTATATGACCGGAGTGTTTTGATTATTGTTCCTGCTGACACTAATCTGTGTCATTTAGAAATGGGCTTGAATCAAAACAATACACACTCCTGAAAACACAGGAGCTTTAAAGTATATCAAAGCCACTAAATCCATGTTCCTTGCTGCTACATTCTCCACTTTACTGATTTGATTATGGTACTTACCAATGTCAACATTGATGTGCTATTTTTCCCCGACAGTTTTCTCATAATAGCATATTTAGTACCACATTCTAAATATGCTGCTCCAACACTAACTATATTATCAAAGCTACTACAATGTTCTGATGCATACCGCTTTGTTTTTCAACAAAATATTTCACTGGACACAATTTAACTCACACAGATGCAACTCACTTTTTAACACTTGCTGAAGTGCCAGCCTAATTGTATTACATTTAATCTCTGTGTTGATGTGTTTCACTTCCCAAGAGCAGCTTCTGTGGCTGAGGATCAGATTGCCAAGGTCTCCACCCTCAGTCACCACCCGTCTAACTCTGCTCCCTACCTCACTCTGCTGTGGCCCCTCTCACAGGTGGTGAGGCCATGGGAAGGGAGACCCACGTCTCCTCTTTGGGCTGTGCCCGATTGAGCTCCATGGGTCCATGAGTGGGGCCCCAGTGGCCCGCGTATGGATGAGGGAACACTGTTTTCAGTGATTTTGTGATCATAAAGGGTCTTTGGCCCTCACTTTGTCTAGTTCCTCAGCTTTCTGCCTTGGATGACCCTACCACAGGCATGAATGCCCTGATAGCATAACTACTGGGATCACTGGGACACTCAAACCCATGCAGTGTCACAGCCCATGAGCTTTGTTGAAGTCCTGACAGAAAGAACCAGGTTATGGACACAAGCGGCCAAGATTGTTTTTTGTTCTGTACTATGTCTGGGGTCTCCCTTAGAGATAGGGTGAGAATCTCGGTCATCCAGGAGGGACTCAGTGAAGAGCCGCTGCTCCTTCACATCGAGAGGAGCCAGTCCTGGTGGCTCGGGCGTCTGGTGAGGTTTCCCAGACATGTCCACCAGGAGGAGACCAAGAGGAAGACCCAGAACACGCTGGAGGGACTATGTTTCTCGGCTGGCCTGGGAACGCCTTGGATTCCCCCGAAGGAGATGGAACAAGTGGCTGGCGAGAGGGAAGTCTGGGCCTCCCTACTTAGGCTGCTACCCCCGCGACGCGATTCCGGATAGGCGCAAAAACTAGACTTGTGTGCAGACAAAACTCTGAAATGAAGAGTTTATTTTAAAAACTTATGACTAGTCTTTCAGCTGTATCTTACCAGATATTAGGAAATGTCAGTTTGTATTTATATCTGCGAAAGATAAACATTTAGCTGCAGGTAAACAACAAAACAAACCATGTTTCACTCATCAAACAAGAGCTGCAAACCTGATATTGTGTTGGGACATCATTTATATACTTTGGAAAAATATGGCTTTCAGAGCTACAAGACTTACTTTTATTAGCAGTCGACGTGTGGCTGCAAATTTCCTTTTTGGCTTTCTCTATGATAAAAAAAGAAACATGGCAGGTTTCTGCATCATTTACTATGAATTATTTTCCATTGTAATTTATGTACGTTTCATTTCATAAAATTGTGACTCACCGGTCTTCATCATCACATAAGATCAAAAACCATCACAAAATAAAGAAAAACAATTAATACCACAGAAATAGTCATTTTAAACATGTAATAAAGCAATGACAAAAGAGAGAAGCCAGCAGACAATGATTCATTTGAGACATTCAATTAAACTAAAAATTTAATGTACTTTTGAACAAAATACAAAAAAAATATATCCAGGAACTATTTGCAATAGTCTGTACAACTTTAAACTAAGACTTTGTTAAAGGCCCTTTGTCTCATCTTAATTTAAAAATACTTGCATACATATTTCCTCCACAAAGTTCAGGAAAATTTATCCAGACGTCAGTGGCCTCATAGAGGGACATGAATCCTGTCCTGCGCTGTAGTCGAAGCGTGTGAAAAATACCGGAAATAGTTGCAAGATGCACAACAAAACCAGGCCTTATTGAAAGTTTATTCATTCTTGCCATCAATGGCCAGTTTGTCAATTTTACCTATTCATTAGTTAACGAGAAAAGCGTGTTTTTTGTGGCATCCCTGTTGTTCCATATTTATTCCAGTTTTTAGTAGCTGTTTCTGTTTGATGCTTGGGAATTTTTTTGTGCCCTTCTCCTGAGCTGTACCTTCCTTCCTTTTTAACCTGTCATCAACCTGAACCTGTCAAGTTCATCTAAAAGATGCAAATGCCAGAAAAACAATTTTAGGACATCCAAACTTTATTCTTTAGCACAATTCTTACTCCTGAGTGCTTAAGAAGATTGATTCAAAAGGTGCTTCAACAAATTTGGGGTATTCTTATGTTTTGCTTCTTTATTTTTTTACTTTAACTTTGGATTCACTTCAACTGGACGGGATACACTTTACACTATATGTAGAAAAAAGTTTGAAGTGATTTTTCATTTTTCGGCATGAAAATCTGACACTTTTTTATACCCATTCTTTTTTTTTTTGGTATTATTTGGTGTATTGTAATTAATTGTGAAG